AAGCCTTTTATACTAAAAAATTTTTCCATAGTTTAGAAAATTTATTTTAACAATGTGAAAATCACTTATTTCATGTATTGTTTTATAAATAATACTTCTTACGAAATATCTGCCTTAATTGCTGATAATAATGTGGGCATCCAGTCACTAATATGCATCTTCTGATTACTAATTCTTTGAGACTTTTTAATTAGAGGCGACCAAATTGCAGCTGCTCCTCTTACACCGCCTTCGAATAATGTAAATTTAGCCTAAAATTCAAACATTGAATTAGATATATCTAGATTCAATCATAGTAGATACCTTGAAGTTGATGATTATTCAAATACTTCATAAAATCTATAGCTTGATATTTTATAGCGTTATAGTTATAAAATATCAAGGATCAGTTTTGGTTGTTTTATTATTAAAATATATCGTTTCCAGTATAAATAATTTATGTCAAAAGTATGTCATTTTGATAATTTATAACAAAAACAATCCTTACCCCTCTAAGAGGCCAATTGGATGCTGAATTTGGACCTATTCCCACAGGAGATCCTCCATTGTCAGTGGAAAAAACAATTAAACTATCTTTCAGCATATTTTTGCGTGACAAGGCATCAATTAGATCTCCGATAGCATCATCCATTTTCTTTAATATTGCTTTAAAATTATATTAAAATATTACTTAATTAATTACAAACCACGTATGAATATATAAATCTATCAGAAATATTTTTGCATAGAGTTTGGGATTTTTATCTAATCACCAATGCTCAACTTGGTTAAAGGTTCATTTGACTTCAAAATTTAGAGTTAACTAACAATGATAATTGTCAAATTATTCATTGCTCTGATTTTATATTATATTATACTCTAGTAAGTATCCAAAATTATAATTTCATGCAGATGTGCCAGTAAAATAAGTTCAATTTGATCGTACAAAGGCGCTAAAATTATACCTGCAAACTTTCTCCTCTGGAAATTTTCAATTTCTTTAAAACTATCAACCACTTCATCAGGTGCTGGTAAAGGATTATAAGTATTTGCAGAATGAACTGCAGCATGGGCCATATATAAAAATAAAGGATTAGTTGTATTATGATTTTCTACAATTTTAACAGCCTCTTCCGAAAATACATCTGTTGAATATTGACCGTGTAAATCCCAAGCAGCATCCATACCTGAAAATATTTATAAAAATATAATAATAGAAAATAAATAAATATTTTATTATATTTAAATATATATTTACTTGTATCAAAAAAATTATATAAATTGCTGAATTAATTTAGTACGAATATTAAAAAGGTTCGTATTTCGTCTATTAGCAGATAAATATATTACTTAATCCAAATATAGAAATTAATTTTCGTTTAAAAAATTAATAATATTTATAGTAATACATTGAAAATGACATTCTAGTATTGTAAAATTTTCTTATGATTGAATTTACCTCTCCTCATGTCCAAACCATACCAAGGTTCTTCATACACAGAATGATCATAATAGTCATGAAATCCGGACCAATTCCGAGATGTGAATCAAATCCCTATATAAAGGAGTGTATTCTTTTTTGTAATGTCCTAAATGCCATTTACCAACCATGTGGTTACTGTATCATAAATCCTAAAAATATACAAAATACAAGAATATTATTATCTCCTTTATTTACAACTGTCCAGTAAAGGACATTCAATAAATTTACAAAATACAAGATCATGAAGAAAATTTCGTTCGGTCCATTAATAATATTACTCATATTCTCTTATATTTCTTTAGATTCATGTAATATTATTATAAAAGATTATTAGAACTGACTATTATAATCTATTATTAGAACTGCAATCTATATTTTTTGTAAAATCTTTATGGAAATGTATGGTATTAATACGCATCTATAAGGGGGCGTCAGTTAATCACGTGAGGTTTTTTTGGGGAGGGGGGGTTGACAAAAAATCATGAAATATCACGTGAGGGAGGGAAGGATATAGTAAAATATCACGTGTATTTATTTTTAACCGATTTTTTTTAAAAAAACGAACATTTTCAAAAAAAGTAAAAATAATAACAACACATGATGTTTGATGGGGAAGGGGGGGGTTAATTTTGAATATCAACCCAAGGACCAGTTTTCTTACCTTAAGATATTGAGGAAGCAAACGTTCTCCTAAAGGAAGACCACGTGGTTCTCCGGCGTCTATAACTTTGTGCTGCATTCCTAATTAAATACATATTTTTAATTAGGAATAAATATAAATATATTCCATTATTGAATGAATTTTGAAGCTACATAAATAGTATTTATAGTAAATAAAATGGTTCCATATGAAACTGCGAGTTCTGCTTTGCAAATCTTTGGAGATTTACACAATAAAATTGACTAAAGGAATTATAACACAGTTTCGATTCATCGAATCATTACTGAAATTTATGCCAGATTTATGAATTTATATTACATGTACATTTACTATTTGCTCTTTGCTATATCCAAAAAATCAATGTGTATTTATACAATATGCATTTCTTTATTTGGCCTTCACTATATCGAGTAAAAATGTTATGGTTATGAGTTTTTAATGATTATTTATACTATACGTATCTGTTTAGATTCATATTTTGAGTCTTATTATATATAGATATATATTTGAATTTATGATATATGTACTCGTATGTACATATTTTCTAAGTTCATGTAGGGTTAGATATTGCAATCGTCCAAAAATCGAAATAGAAATTTTTTTCATTTCATCACGTTTTGAAGGTTTCTGAAAACTTGGCTTCTTGGATTTTGAACGTATTGTGTGTATACAATTTATCGTCCACGATTTCGGGCGCACGGATTAACCAATTTGAATGCTTCAAACAACATTCATGAGAAGACGTGCTGATTAGTTTTTGGCAAAGGCAGGTCTAGATCTAGACGTTTTGGAGATACCGAGCTAAATCTCTTAAATACATTTACACCCAGCATATTGTCTTAAAGAATGTATATTATTTTGATCGGCAATAAGTCTATGCAAATAAAAAAATAAGCTTTCTGGGCAAAATTAAAGATTTCTTTTAATAAAATTGACTATTGATGACTTGATATTGATAGAGATTGATGACTATAATTAAATTCAATAATATTACAATGACCATTACCTAAATGAATTGGATATTTTCCAGTCATTAGAGCACTTCTTGATGGTGTACATAATGGTTGGACGTAATAGTTTTGCAAAATCACTCCAGAATAGGCAAGGGCATCTATGTTAGGTGTCGGAATTTGAGATGAACCATGAAATCCAACGTCATTCCAACCCTAAAATATTATAGTTTTACTGAACAAATGAATAGTAAAAATCAAACTATGAAAAAAACCTATGAACATAAGAAAATTCTGAACAACACCTTAAAACATTTCTTTTTAAACTACTGATACAATTTTTCTTTTGTAAAGAAACTTAATGTGAGATGTGCAAATTATCACTTGAATAATTTTATTCTTATGGCAACTGAATCAACATTGCCGTTGATTCAGTTGCACTTTTGACAAATTATTGAACAGTTTACTTGAGTATTTGAAAATTATTAATTTATGATGAATGGATAAATAAAGTTTTTTGCTAAATTTGGAACATGTATGTAAATTGATAAAAAATCCAAAAATAGTTCTACGAAATCAAAATCACTTAAATTTGACATGTTAGTCAAAATGTAAAAAAACACAGCTATCACTATTCTCTGCCTTCACAAATTTATATCTCATTGTCAACTGATACTAGATTATTTCAAGTATTATAATAACATCATCGATAAAAGAGATAATAACTTGTTGTTTCTAAACAATATTTTTATATTTATATTATATTTTCTACAATAGTATTTACAGAAAGGCTTTACAAATATTTAATTAACTTACCAAGTCATCAGCCAAAATAAATATTATATGAGGTCTTTTAACATTTTCGCAAAAGTTGAAGCTGCAGCAGGTTGACACAAATATAAAAAGCACAAAAAAATATTTTCTCGGCTAGCCATTTCGCAATTATACAAATAATAAACGTATAATTTACATTTTACATCGTATAAAATTTGTGTGATAAGATTTTAGTTAATCGGCTAACAAAGATTATGATATTGCTAATGACGAAGTCAATATTTAGATTTTCTACAATAGTATTTACAGAAAGGCTTTACAAATAGTTTAATTATTACCAAGTCATCAGCCAAAATAAAAATATTATATGAGGTCTTTTAACATTTTCGTCAAAAGTTGAAGCTGCAGCAGGTTGACACAAATATAAAAAAGCACAAAAAAAAATATTTCTCGGCTAGCCATTTCGCAATTATACAAATAAATAACCGTATAATTTACATTTTACATCGTATAAATTTGTGGTGATAAGATTTTAGTTAATCGGCTAACAAAGATTATGATATTGCTAATGACGAAGTCAATATTAGATGAGATTTATGGTATTAAATCAATATATATTAGAGAATACGTATCAGGGTGATATCTATTTATTAAAAGGTAATAAAAAATGATTAAATTAACAAAACAATAATTTTGTCAGTGATGAACGAAAGCATTCTGATATATTATTGATTATCGTGTTAACTTTTGAAACTATAGAATTTACGGTTACAAAAGCAACGTTTTAAAAGCACTTAACACACATTTGATTAAATCCTTAGATCTTTGTATTGATTTGATATCTTTAAATTTTGGAAAACCAAATTCAATTATTAACACACTTTATATATAAGATTTAACTATGTCAAACTGTGTTTTACTTCGCCTAACATGGAAACATTTAGAAATAAATTCTCCGCGTTGGTCTCAGCGCACACATTTATTTTATTACTTCAGAATGATAAGAATAACAGGTTACTAATTTATGCAACAATTTATTTACTGCACATGAATTAATCGATAAAACACTGCAAATATCTACTTTATCAAATAGATATTGATTGTTTCATATCACATATTATATGTAAAATGTAATCTTATATGCTATTTATTATTACAAGGGCAAAGTAATGTTATGATCCCCAAAGTTTGACCAGGTATGATCAAAGAGACTCGGCCTGGATCTCGGATCAATTGGTAGGTTGCTTGGAGGCATAATAAAACTAGAGTTGTAGGTAGCCAGTAAATCTTGTAATTTTTCTAGTATTTCTGGTTCACTAAAAATACAAAAATATAAAAGTAAAAGATATGTTAAATTAATTTATATGTAAGCGTTATTCAGTATTTTTTGTCAATATCCATCAGGCCCAGTTGTATTTAATGTAAAGAAGACGATTTTTTTTTATTTTCTACCCATATCTTAACAGCAATGATCAGAATATTACGTCATATGAGCAGTTGGGCTGAAACTTTTCCTTAGATGGTAACCCAATTGTTAATCCATCCACATTTACTGATTTTATTATCAGAATATAACTAATAGGACTGACCTTCTATTGGTGAAGCAATACCTGGCAAGGGCTATTTTTACTTGGAAACATATTGCTATCTATATATCCAAGTGAAAATAGAGGACAAAATTGCATAAAATTATAACATTTTAGATTGGTCAAAATAGTTTTGTTGAAATATCGAAATCTAGTAATGTGTAATCCCATAAATCACAATTAAATTATATTTTGTCACATTACTAGTCTAATAACAAAATAATATAACTAATATTGAATTAGGTTATTCACTAGCTGTACCTGATCACATATTGGTGTGTTTCCTACATAATTAAAAATTTAGACTAAAATGCAGTTTGACACTTATAGTTATTACGATAAAAAAAGAGCTTGCGTATTATTTTTTATATTACATATTATTCATTCATTTTTATATTATTTTTTTTACCTATGAGCTAAGTTATTTTGTTCGCATGGATCAGCAACAAGATCAAATACACAAGGACCCGTTTTCAAATTGCATTCAGTTGATGGTTTAATTTCAGGACAGTCGATATCAGCTTGTTTTCTGGAATAATTGTTGCAAAAAATTAACGCCAATTATTTTTAATATTAATATAACAGATCAGCTAAAAAGATCATTCTCTATTTGTTAAAAAAATCTTCGGAAATACCACTCAAATCGTATCAAAGAGTTTTGGCAGCCTCATTATGTTTTGTGTTTTTTCATAGAGTTTAAAATATCGAATAAAAATAGTATTTACCTTAAGGAGGTAATTTGATCTGGAGTTGGAGCATATCCCAGTTTCTCTAAAGCCTTTCTAGTTTTACTTGCTAAGATTTTGTCCATGTTATATGTAATATTGCGCCCAGACGGTCCATACCAACCATTCCATCCTCCATTGAAAATGTCTCCTGATATAATTGCAAATATTCAAACGGTTATTCACTGTAGTATGATGTACATATTTTTCAAGAAGCATATCACTTCTAAGTTGAGGGGCATATTAATAATTTGTATCTCACTTTCAAGATAATATGCTTATTTTTTTTAGGTTTATCAAGACTAACATTATGAATCATGATTTCATCGAATCGTTTTACTTTGTTTTCAACTATTGAATTTTGTTCTTTTAAAAGTTAAGCATATTAATCTAAAATATTTAATTATAATATACAAAAAAAAAATTATTTATAATTTTATAAAACTTGTTGAAAAATATTAAAAAATTGTTATTTGACTATTCGCCTACTGTGCACTCAAAATTATAGCTGATGAAAAAGATGGAAATGCAAATGTTTCCTTTCTTCCATATTTATCACTAGTGCATATTAGTTAGAAAACATTGTTTCGGACTCAAGAAGTAATTATAACTGTTTTGTAATAGTATAATTACAAATAAGTGAAGACTTTATTATTTGAAAAAAAATTGTATTTCCCTTGATTCGAAATAATTCGAATAAATTTAGTATTTCTAAAAATTTTCTGTAAATTTAATTTTTAACTACATTGCGTTATTTACTAAGAATCCGTTTAAATAAAGCATTATCTGTTGCAATCTAATATGGAGATCTCTGTTCAAATATGATCTGATTAGAATAATCGTATTATAGTGTTTATTAATGTTGTTTTCAAATATATTCTGATTGAATAGAAAATATGTCTCATATAAATTGAACTATCACATGTTAAGTTTTTTTTTAATAAGTTTTTGCTCGTAAAGGTGAGCACGGTAAAATGTCATGGCAGTCCACAGGTCGATCGCGATCACCTCAATGTCTAGAAAATTCGTGATTGTAGGGTCTCGTTTATCTTATTTAAAATCATCTGTGGCCTTGCTTGTTATCAAAACATTTTTTCATTAAATTGCATGATTATCATGAAATTATCAATGTATCAATAATTAATGATTAACTCTACTAAAAAGTAGGTAACAAATGTTACTTGTATTAAACCAAAATTTTAAAATGGTAGTAAAACTTATGATGAAGCAAATCTATTACAAATTTCAGCTTCATAATACCTTGCATTAGTTTATATCTTCCATCGATGACAGCTGCTTGTTTATACCTATCATCCAAATTTAATAAAATCTCACTTCTTGGCGATGGTGCATCTTCAGACAAACTTATCCATAAATCCATGCCATCCAAATTATTTATTCTTAAAAATTTAACATTGGTTATTAGATTATCTTTGATAACAGTACTGATTTATATTGTTTTTAATATTTATACTAACGATATATTAGCTCCAATAGCGGAAAATAGCGTCGGCATCCAGTCACTGATATGTATTCTTTGATTACTTACTCTTTGAGGTTTTTTAATTAGAGGTGACCAAATTAATCCGGCGCCTCTTACGGCACCTTCAAACAACGTGTATTTTACCTAAAGATTAAAATCAATTCATAATCTATAGTTGAATTGTTACCAATTTATGTTCAATGGGACTACTGCTAAAAATTCTAAACTGAAGATCATTAACGAATAGGCAGGATATTATTTTAAGTATATATTTTATATGATTGTACCCCTCTGAGTGGCCAATTGGAGGCAGCATTTAAATTAAATCCAGCTGGAGCACCACCATTATCTGTTGAGAAGATAATTATACTATCTTTCAGCATGTCTTTCTTAGATAATGCTTCCACCAGCTCGCCAATTGCATCGTCCATTTTTGTTAAAATCGCTGTAAATTCAAACAATTGTTAGGATAAACCGGATTAAAAATCAGATTCCAGTAAATTAACCTGCAAATCTTCTCCTTTGATAATTTTCGATGCCGTTGAAACTATCGACTACATTATCAGGTGCTGGTAAAGGACTGTAGGAATTGGAAGAATGTACTGCGGTATGAGCTACATATAAAAATAGTGGTTCGGAAGAATTGTGATTTTCTACAATTTTTACACCTTCTTTGGAATATACATCGGTAGTATACTGCCCGTGCAAATCCCATGCAGCTTCCAAACCTGTGGAAGGAAATAAATATTGTTTATTCATTATTATTAATTGTACTGTGTTAACTTACCTCTGCGCATATCTAATCCGAACCAGGAATTTTCGCTAACGGTGTGGTCGTAGTAATCATGATGTCCTGCCCATGCTCCTATATGAGAATCGAAACCCCTGTACAAAGGAGTGTACTCCTTTTTGTAATGTCCTAAATGCCACTTTCCAAGCATACGATTAGTGTATCCCAAATCCTAAAATAAACCAACGATAATTTGCAGAAATAATTTCAATGAAAGAAGTAGAACCAAAGTAGGTCCTAATGCTTATATATGGCATTATTTATGTGAGGAAACTGTTATATACTTGATTCAAATTAATTAATTAATTATTTGCTCATTTGTTTCATAATCAGTAATTATATTGATATATAAGAGTAGAGCAACTTAATTTGCTAAAATATAATCGAATTTTAGATTATATTGCAAACTTATATATTTTACACTCATCCCTATGATTTTACTTAAGGGAAAGTCCCGTAACGCCAGACGGCACCTAATGCCGGACACTCTATTTAACACGTATTATTTAGGCGAGTTTTTTTGCAATATCTAAGAATATTTGTCAAACACACATGTCCAGGCACTCCAGAGTGTGGAGATGGCTACCTATGTGTTCAATACTGGTAATTTTGAAATGTCCGGACTAGGTACCACTTTGTAAAATCATATTTCTTATCAAAGTTTGATTAATAGTATTAATTATTTTTAGCAAAGGTTGCGTTTTTGTTAATTTAGTTTGATTTCTAACTTTGTTATCTAACATAAATCATAATTTAATAAACATTTCGTAAAATATTTTTTGATTTATCTATAAATAACCTTAGATGTCTGGCATTCGGGGACTTCCCCCTACTCTTAAATCTGCATATCATGTAAATAACTGTTTATTCAAAAAACAATAACTTCTATCAGCTATTATAAAAATTAAATATGATATTGATGTATAAACTTAAGTATTTATTTGGATTATAATATAATATTACAAATTTACCTTAAGATATTGTGGGAACAATCGTTCACTTAACGGTAGACCACGTGCTTCACCTGCATATAGAACATCATGTTGCATACCTGTAAAGGTGCAAAAACATCGTAATATTTTGATTTTACACTGAAGTTTATGAAGTTCATTAAAAAATCATAAAAATATATATTTTTCATATTATACCTGTGCGAATAGGATATTTTCCAGTCATAAACGCAGTTCTGGATGGTGTACATAATGGCTGGACATAGTAGTTATGCAAAATTACACCAGAATATGCAAGGGCATCTATATTAGGCGTAGGAATTTGAGATGAACCGTGAAAACCGACATCATTCCAACCCTGTATCATAAATAATTAAAATTTTAAATGAAATAGATAATTCCATATACATTATACAGATGTAAAATAAAATTCACATATATAATCGCACATTTAGTGCACTTATTTAAATCACATATATAGAATAGTGATCGATTATTTTAAATTTTTTACCTAAGGCATTTTGTTTAGAATTTTTTGTCAAAACCAACAATGTTACAATTTCCTTATCGTTCATTGATTGGATTAAATTAGCTTCTTTATTATATATTTGCAGTTATCATATTATTTACATTTCGTTATCATTTATAATTTTCACATATTTATCAGACAATATAATTTCATTTTACAATCGTCTACGACTTTACCACACTTTTTAAAGGAGTAATATTTTAAAATATTCATTGTTTGCATAGTCTAAAATAGATATTTTGAATAACTGTTTTTTAAAGGACACAGTTTTTTAAAGACACATTACATAACAGTTTTAACATTTCATATTTGCATAAAACTAAAAGATTCAGTAACTAAGAATTTGAATAAACGTTTCTTTGGTAATAATATATTCAGGCGAAAATAAGACCATAGACGAACTATTTCGAGGTAAAAAGTACTTTTAAAAATTAATATAATATTATCGGGTATATAAGAATATATAAAAATAGGTATAATATTATAATATTACTGGATAAGGCAATGTTATGTTAATATAAATCACTTACCAGATCATCAGCTAGAATAAAAATAATATTTGGTCGTTTACCATTTGAATTACAAATAAAAAAACTGGAAATTAAAAAACTAATTAACGTAAGAGAATGCAAAAATCGAATCATATTTGAAATCGCTTTTAAATAACTCAACTAATAACAAATAACATTTTACAGAATCATTTATATAAACGCAAATTTCAGATAAAATCTGATTAGATTTTAATAGATATAAAAAATCAATTATGACATGACGTTATTAAAAATCAATCTGTTTACGTTACAGTTATTTATCGGTTGTTGTATAGATAGTGGTATGTATTCATTTAACTTTTTATTTTTCTAATTATAAATAATAGTTCGTCAATTATGATCAAAACAACCTCCTTTACCATGTTAATTAATGTATTGTGTTTAATAATATGTTTTCTAGTAAAACATAATGAAGGCAAAAATAAATGATTCTTGTACGTCTTTATGTATTGTTGACCTCTATTGCATAATTGAATATATAGTATTATAACTCATTTATTATATCTACAAATTATTTGAACATCAGCTAAAATGTAATATATTCGAATATTGCATGTGAAAGTTGAATATTTTCATAATATTCAGAAATATTAAAAATCAAAAATTTAATTCACATGCCAAAATTTTATACTGTAACTAGTTTTAGGCAAGCTATGTTACGGAACCCATAGAAATGTGAACAAAATTGATACATATTATTAAAATCTCTATAAAATATCTGATAATTTGATGTGCATATGTATAATGATCTTTTCAGACTGCCAAATGGCTTTTTTTCACTTTTTTTTACTAGATCTCCGAAATTGCTAGTCCTGCCTTCCCAGAAATCTAATCAGTTCTTCATCTTGTCAATACAAAAAAAGATGTTTTATTGAATTATTAAAATTGGACGGTCTGTTCTTTTTGCCACGTATCTTCGGAACGACTAGACCTGCCATTGCCAAAAACTAATCACCACGTCTCCATATCAATATGAATCGAATGCTTTTTAAATTATTCAAATCGGTTGATCCGTCGACGGAAATTTGTATCCGCACACACACGCACACACATGCACATACACATACACATACGCATACATTCAATTTTTCTAAGCGTTGCCAAAATGTTCGGAAACTTTTGAAACGTAAAGATATATAAAAATTGTCAATTTCGATTTTTTTTGCGTTTACTATAACTCACCCTACTGGAAGTTGAAAAGTTCTAAATCTAAGTCTAAATTGATATAGGTATAAATATTTGTATTATTTATATTCAAAATTAAACATTTTGGTTAGTATTTTACATAAGTCAGTTATTTCATCTTTATTTACTCCAAAGATTAAATTTTTTCTTTATTTTGCTGTAGTCGGTAAATCAACAAAGTCTCCAAAATTTGTCCATGTGTGATCCCATAAGCTGGGATCACTACGAGGATCATCTGGAAGATTTCCTCTTGGCACTGCAGTAGCATTGTACTTATCAAGCAATTTCAGCATTTTATGTAACAACTCCGGTTCACTAAACATACAAAAGCATCATATTACAGATAAAATATTTATTTAAGAATTGCATCAAACATTGCACAACAAAAAAATTTATTCTGGTGTCACATACCTTTTGGCTAAATTGTTATATTCACATGGATCAGCTTCCAAGTCAAACAAACAAGATCCTTCTAGTATTTTACAGGGAGTAACTATATCTGGTTTAACACATTTGACATCAGCTTCATTTCTTAATAAAAATATACTTTTTAGATTGCAAATATATTGTACTGATCAAGAAATTTCAGTATTATTATTATATTTGTGCACATATTCATGTTTATATTTATACAGAAAATCACACATAATGATTTTTATATTAAAATTACCTTAATTCTTTAATTTTTTCTTCCGTAGGCGTGTGTCCTAATTTTGCCAGAGCTTTTCCTGATTTACTGTTCAGAACTCTTTGAATATTGTAACTTTCATTACGTCCTGCTGGTCCATACCAATTGCCCCATTGATTGTTCGCCTGGTTTTCTATAAGTGATATTTTAAGTCATGAAAACTTCACGAAAAAGTAAACCAAGATTATCAAAATATTATTACCTTTAAGTAATTTATATTTTCCATCAATAACTGCAGCTTGTCGATAGACATCATCAATGTTCAATAATATTTGTATTCTTGGTGATGCTTCATCTTCTGATAGTGCTTGCCATAAATCCAGTCCATCAATATTCTCTAAACTTATATTTAAACATTAAATTAATTATGATACGTATGATTAATTGCTTCAAACTATACTCACGATACATTTGCGCCAATAGCAGATAATAATGTTGGCATCCAATCGGTTATATGCATTTTCTGCTGGCTAATTCGTTGCTGCCTTTTTAATAGTGGTGACCAAATTAAACCAGTACCTCTGACACCACCTTCGAATAAAGTATCTTTTACCTGAAAAAATCAGGTATTTAGAATTTAGATATATCAATAACAGGCAATGTTAGCATTACTTTTATTACATTGCCAATTAAATTTCTCTAATATTTGTAAAAATAGTAATAGACAATGAATTAAAAACTAGCAAGGATACGAAAATTAAACCTAATCATATATATTTGTAAAATATTTAATAAAAAATCAAAATACTATACTTACTCCTCTAAGTGGCCAATTCGATCCAGCATTATCATGGACTTCTGGCGCACCACCATTGTCCGTTGAAAAAATAATCAAACAGTCTTTTAACATATCTTTTTGTGATAAAGCATCAATAAGATCTCCAACGGCCTCGTCCAACTTTGACAATACAGCTGCAAATTCATTATATCGATTAATAAATTATACAATCACATGAAAACCGTTCTTAGAAAATACTGCAATCTATCAAACTCCACTTAATGATTGGTAAACATGTTTACTTTGCATATGATTTATTTAGTTGTTAGCGTTTTGAATTATCAATCATTAATAGAATCTTCAATTTTTCACAGCAATTACAATTTTGGCATGTTGTGATTATACTTCTACTTATCAAGTCGATTTTTAGAAGGCAACTCAACTCTACATTTTTCTTACAAGGATTTATCTTATAGTACTTATTAAGTTTTGTTTATTAGCTTATTTCCGGGAAGAGCTTACTTTACTTAGTACCAAAGAAAGTACTTTTGTTAGATTTTGTCATTTGAATGCCTTACCAGCAAATCTTCTTCTTTGATAGTTTTCAATACTCCTAAAACTATCTACCACACCATCAGGAGCTGTTATAGGGCTGTAAGGATTAGCAGAATGAACAGCTGCATGTGCCATATATAAAAACAGAGGTTTGGAAGCATTGTGATTCTGAACAATTTTAACTGCTTCTTTATTAAATACATCAGTCGTATATTGTCCATGTAAATCCCAAGCTGCATCAAGACCTGCATAATAACGATTATCCATCAACTATCAATTTGCGTTAAAATATTTTGTATTATTATAAATGATTTTTACCTCTGCGCATATCAAGACCATATTTGTATCTTTCAAATGCTGAATGATCGTAGTAATCATGATGACCTGTCCAAAATCCTAAATGAGAATCAAAGCCTCTATATAAAGGAGTGTATACTCGTTTATAATGGCCCAAATGCCATTTTCCAATCATGTGGTTTCTGTATCCTAAATCCTAATAAATAGTAAACTAAAAAATTAATTAGTTGGGAGACAAGTTCGTTACAAAATTAATATTAGTAAATGTCATATTAAGAATTCGAGAAATTTACTGTGAAACATGAAGAATAAACATAAAGAAGAGTATATTACTATATACTAATACTAATAATACTATATGTATTATATATTTACTGGAATTTGATAGGATTCTAACTACAAAATGAATACAAATACATTTTTGTTATAACTACAGGGTGCGCATTTATATGTGGTCAATGGAAATGTTGAATATCTTGAACAATTTAAAAAAAAACTTTTGATTTAATGCAATTTTTTCATCATTAAATTTAAAACCGTACAGTATGCTTACAGTTTCTTCTTAACAATTTGATAATGAAAAACAGTTTATCAAAATTTATTGAAAATTGTTTAAGTTATTCAACATTTCGGTTGACCACATATAAATGGCGCAGCTCTATTTTTTGTCTCACAGTCAGTTTTGCATCATTAACGTACAAATAATACTCGGTAACCAATTTACAATTATTTGTTTCAATATATTTATTTCAATATATTCAAAAATATATTTATTTCAATATTATTATAAACAAAATATAGAAAGTTACCTTAAGGTATTGTGGAAATAGACGCTCACTCAAAGGAAGACCACGTGCTTCAGTTCCAAACAAAACTGAGTTTTGCATACCTGGTTTTAAAACATTTTTTTTTAAATTACTATTCACAGTTTCAGAAAAGTCTTAAGATCTATAAACCTGTGTGAATAGGATATTTTCCGGTCATCAAAGCAGCCCTGGATGGAGTACATACTGTTTGAACATAATAATTCTGGAGAGATATACCGGAATATGCTAAAGCATCTATATTTGGCGTAGGGATTTGCGATAATCCATGAAATCCTACGTCATTCCAGCCCTAAATGTATTAGAATGAGAAAACTACGTGAAGGAATTCTTATACTAAAACCATTATATATTTACTCACCAGATCATCAGCTAATATAAAAATTATGTGCGGTTTTTTTAATTGCTCACATTTTGCAGAAAACTGCGAAGTAATTAAAATAAGTAATAAATACAACAAAGGTGTGTGATCTTTCATTCTAATAGACTTTATAACTACATCATATTTTAGTAGTTTCAACGAAGATAAAAAATTAAAAATCAATTTCCCGAGATAACAATGATATGGTACTCATATCACTCATTGTTATATTAATCGGTAATTATGATTAAGCGTATAAAAGATTTGTTGAATAATATATCTTACTTACAAAAAATTATGATAAGTGTATATTGATGAAATAATGGATGAAGTAATGAATAAAATAATATTTTAAAACACATAAAAATTTATTAAATTTATTAAACCTAATGAATAGAATTTAGTGAATATGTAATATCTCCAAAATTTGCCCACGTGTGGTCCCAAAATCGAGGATCAGCTCTGCGATCATCTGGAAGGTTTGTCGGAGGAACGGCTGTTAAATTATACGAGTTGAGTAGTTTGAGCATCTTATTTAGTAGCTCAGGTTCACTGAAATTAAAAATATTTTTAAAAAAAATTAATATATATCTATTAACTAAATGAATAAAATGTTATAAGTTAGATAGTGCGCAATTCAATCAAACTTCGTATGGAAATAGCACGGAAAAAATTTTGAAAATTAAAAAACAAAATTAGGTATAATTTAGCGACAAATTTTGAATAAAACTCATTCATTTGTTCGCTAAATTATATCTAAAAACATTTTTGAAATTTTTGGAAATTTTCTCATGCTATTTCCATACAAAACATTGATCGAATTACGCACTATCTAAAAAACAATATTAAGAGCCAAAAATTTGAAAGAATTGTTTTTTATCAATTTGGAACCATTTGTGCCCTTGGGAGCAAGGAAATTCGAAAATGTTCATATTAAGGACCACCCTAATATATATATATATATATATATATATAATATATATATATATATATATATATATATATATATATTCTTACCTATCAGCTAAATTATTATATTCACAAGGATCCAATTCCAAATCAAACAGACAAGGAGCATGCTTCAAGTCACATACGGTTGCTGACTCAGGAACAGGACATTTTACATCAGCTTCGTCTCTATTAAATTAAAATAAAATAAAATTATATAAATAACTTTGTTAGTCAATCAGTTTGGGAACAAATTCACACACCTCAATTCCCGTATTTTGTCTGGTGTGGGTGCATATCCGATTTTTCCCAAAGCTTTTCCTGCTTTGCTGCTTAATACTAAATCCACATCATAAGTTTTGTTACGTCCTGATGGACCAAACCATTTATCCCATACGCCATTGTATGTATTTCCTGATAGAGATATATGAAGAATATGAGGAAATTTTCTTTTTGTTACAATGTTAGATATTTACCTTTTAGTAATTTATATTTTCCATCAGTAACCCCGGCATTTCCATATATATCGTCGATATTGAGCAATATTTGAGATCTAGGCGATTGTGTGTCCTCTGATAATGCTCTCCAAACATCCATGCCATCTAAATACTTTATCCTTGTAAGAAAAATAATCAATTTGTTACTATTTGAAGATTATTTAATGCTAATTAAAAATATAGATAAGATTTTTGCGAAATTAAGAACGAATTTATCGCAGTTCATCAATCACACATATCAGCAAATAGGTTATTTCATCGATCAGGCGTATTTATAATGAGAGCTAGCTTGATATTTACTCTATAAAAATTTGCGTGTGAATTTATTAATATTATGTCATCGTTTTCATGGTGACCTGTTTAGTATCGTCCAACTATCATCGAACTGATAAATAATTATCATATGTAGATATGTTATCACCTAGTTTTTTAAATATAATCCATCTTACTCACGATATATTTGCCTTTATAGCCGATAACAAAGTAGGCATCCAATCACTGATGTGCATTTTTTGTTTGCTGATCCTCTGCTTCTTTTGAATTAATGGTGACCAAATCAGTCCTGCACCTCTTACTCCACCTTCGAATAATGTGTTTTTCACCTGAATAGTAACCGATTATTATAAATTATCATAAAAAAATCAAATCTGAAGTAATCATATAAAATGCAATACCTAATTAGCTTTTAACACTTCAAAAATAATTACTTTACACCGACTACTGGAAATAAAAAAAATGGCAAAACTTCTAATAGTATTCTGAAAATGAGGAAAATATTTTATATATCAACTATTTATGATTATACTTCTCACCGGATTCAATAGATTAAAAATTCTGCTAAAGTCAAAATACAATATTAACTTCCTGTAGGGTAAGTAATGGTAATCGTCTAATAATCGAAAATGAAAATTTTGCATATTTTTAGTTTTCAGAGGTTTCTAAACATTTTGGCATACCTTTGATGTGTGGTAAAATGGATGTGTATGTGTATGTATGTATGGGTACAATTATTTGTCTGTCCAGGTTTTAGGGCGCACGGATCAACTGATTTCAATGATTCAAATATATTCTATTTCAATTGATATAAGGAAAAGTGCCGATTAGTTTTTGGAAAAGACAGACCCAGCCGTTTCGGGGATACGGAGCGAAGAGTGCAAAAATAAAAATCGTGTTTTTGGTAGAGCAGAGCATCCGATTTGAATGATTCAAAAAACTTTTGGCTTATGTTGACAAAAAAATTGTTTTTGTAGAAAAAATACATTACTAGTTTACATGTTAAAATCATCTAGAGTCTATTAACATGTTTATTAGAGAATAGTCCGTGTATCTAAATATTTGTAATAATAAATTTGTAATATAAATTTTGCACTATTCAAAATTTTCCAAAAGATTGATGAAAAATATTTTTGTCAATAACATTTTCTACGTTAATAGAAATATTATTTCATAACATTTTGATGGCAACTTTATCTTTGCAAATTTGAGAGTCAAACTACCGTCAATTTCTTATATTATTCTTATTTCCAAACAGCAATCAGAACCTAACACTTTTACTACTATACAAGCCAACGGTTAGACTATACTTGATATATCTTCATTATTAGAATTGATCTATGATTAATGGTAAATAATTATATTCGATGCAATTACACGAAACGTGATTTTGACTAAATTTAGAATCACATTAAAAATATCGTCAATGAGAAGTTATTTACCCCTCTGAGCGGCCAATTGGACGCAGCATTTATATTAAATCCTGCAGCAGGACCCCCATTATCGGTGGAAAATACGATTATACTATCTTTCAACATGTCTTTCCTTGACAAGGCATCTATTAGTTCACCAACAGCATCGTCCATTCTCGATAACATACCTGCGAATTATTTAACATGTATCGATTACGTTGATTGAAATTTGTTTATTCAATACGTGAATGTATCGCTTATTGATCTTACAAACATATTAATATATATATATATATATATATATATATATATATATAAATATATATATATATATATATATATATATATATATATATTAATAGAAGAAATTATCTAATAATTAATTTCATATGTGTATATGAATAACCAAATGCATATACTCAAACAAAAGCCTACGATAATATATATTTTTCACAAAAGTATCGTTTTTCCTAAATAAATTCAATGTCAAATAAATTATGTTGATTAAAATAGTTACATTTAAATTAATCCATAAAAATAAAATTATGTGAAAAAAACTTTATCTTGGCTTACATTTGAAAATTATGTAATCTAAATAAAATTGTACCTATAGTCCAGTATTTTAAGCTTAAGGGGGTCTTCCTATGTGACGGCCAGTTTTTTAGGGATATTTTAGAATTTGTTTTCTACGACCAGTAAATAGTTAGAGCTTCAAGTTTTTTTATCATTTATTATACATATTTGAACAGTATAAATATAAAATTTCAGCTAAAAAAATTTAGTCCAACTAGAGTTACAGCGCTCTAAACACCCCCCCCCCCCTTCAAAAAAAAAGAGCTCCCACTGTCTCCACGATTCCGGCTGATCGGCTTATCTGACCAAAAAAAAATAAACGGCGTTTTAATTTGTAGGCTTAAAAGCACAGAATGAACTATTATACAATCAAATAAATACAAAAAAATTGGATGTTTTATAGACATTTGAAATAAAAGTTGCAAATTAGGCGTTTTTTTTTTGTTTGTTTTTTTGCTATAAAAAATCGAAGTTTTGAAATTTTTGATTGATAATAGTTCATTTCATGCGTTTAATATATTGAATGTGACCTGTAAATTTCAAGTAATTCGGTCCAGCCGTTTCTGGGATACAATGGAGACCAGTTTGAAAAACACAGTTTTGAGAAAACGCGTTTAAAGATAAAATGATCGTTGTACTATATACTATATGTATACTTTTAAATGGCTGTAACTCAAAAACTATTTGAAATATCGATTTGAAATTTTAATATGTTATTTTTAAAGGTATATCTACCGAAATATGAAATAAAAAAAATCAATTTTCTCAACTCATCACATAGGAAGACCCCCTTAAAATAGGTAAGAATCTCGGATTCGAGATACCCCCAGTTGTAAATACTTGTATATTGACACCCTAAGTTGTCTCAAAACCTACATATGGTAGGGTGTCAATACCATATGTAGGTTATATGACAACTTTAGGATGTCAATATACAAATGTATCTCGAATTTCGAGGTGAACTTAGAATAATTACTGGACTGTTACTTGTTAGAACTTTGCTGTGCAAAACTTCGTGTTGACAATCATTGCCACTTTTTTATTGACCTCACTAGATATTTTAGTCACTTACAGTGTTATTATTTTTTATGTTTTATTATACGACATTTTTTTTGAATAGCAATCAGAACCTTACGTCCTATGATCTGTTGGGCTGAAACTTCTCCTTTCTTCGTATTTTTTTAGATGGTAACCCAATGGTTAATCCATCCATATTTGATGATTTTGTTATTAAATTAATCTAATAGGGTTGACATTTTATTGGTGCAGCAATGCGGGGCAAGGGCTATTTTCACTTGGAAACATATTGCTATCTATATTTTCAAGTAAAAATCGTTGTCACTGCTGCCTGACAACAGGCTACTCGATGTGGGTATCGAACCCGGGACCTCTAAAACAAGTTCCCGTTGCTCTTAACCTCTTACCTACGGGCGAGCCCTATTATACGACATGGAAACATTTTTATCATAATTTTATAGTCTCAAATTTTTACATAGGTATACATATTTCATATCTATCAATGCCCAACTTATATCACTGCAATATAATTCTAATA